TGGACTCAAAATATCTCACCAGGTTACTAAAGGACCCAAAAGATTCCCTTGGAGTTCCAAATCTGGCAAAGTGGGGGGAAAAGCCCACTTTTTTATGCTGAGTAGTACGTAGTATATGTACAGACTCACAGAATATGCTGAGTTGGAAGTGACCCACAAGGATCATCAAGTACAAATCCTAGCTCTGCATGGGACCACCCCCAAGAGTCACACAATGTGCCTGAGAGTGCTGTCCAAATGCATCTTGAACTCTGTCAGGCTTGGTGCTGTGACCACTTCCCTGGAGAGCCTGTTCCAGTGCCCAACCACCCCCTGGGCAAAGAACCTTTTTGTAATATCTAACCTAAACCTGTTCTGACACAACTTCAGCCTGAATGGCTACAGCAATAGCAGACTAAGTTGTGAAAGCTCATGTTAATTCATGGAATTTCAAACTTTTCCTAAAATATGATTTTTTTAAAGTTTTGATTCTTCACAAAAACAAAACCTGTGGCCTGAGGAATGGATATAAGGCCTGTGTGATGAAGCTCCTCAGGAGGTAGATGCACAAAATTGCAAGAAAGTACATGGACTGCAGAGGGATGTCTGGGCACCCACTGGTACTACAAAACTGCTATCTTGCAAAGTGAGGAGAAAGCAAGAAGAAAAATCTCAGTATCCTTCAGGTGAGACACAAAGACGCTGAGAAAGAGAAGAGTCAGACTTTCTCACCCTTGGAAACCAGAAATCTACGGGAGGGCAGCGCAGCCGCCTTCATATTAATTGGTAGTCATACTGCACCCCATGAAACACTAAAGTAGCCCTCCATAATCATGAATTTAATAAGCACACTTCACAAAAAGGAATTACACAAACTTTAAGAGGATGAAAAAACCCAACACACGGTAAACCCCCACACAACAAGCTCAGCATACAGATCTAATGGTAAAGATATTCTTGGATTATTTTTTACTAATCAGTCACTAAATCCATCAGTAGTCTTCCCAAAAAGGAAGAGTTTTGAAGTACAAAATTAGAATCCCTAACTTAGAGCTCCAATTCACATTTCTAACATTTCAGGATTAAAACACAGGCATCTTTTGCAACCCACAATCCCCTAATTCAGGTGATTCATGTTATAGAAGTCAACATGGACCCTGGAAACCCAAAAGCTTGCTTCCCCTGCATACGATTAACGGTGCTGGAAATTACTAAACATGTAATAAATAGTAATTTCTTTTTAATCAGTGCCACAATATTTGATGCTTGCACTGAATAATGCAAGACCATATGGAGAACTGCCAAGTAAATCTGTAGCATCTAGTTGGATTCACATTAAGCTTCATTTATGTATGTGAATTTATGTATAAGTGAATATATTTATACATGGAGAACATGAAGTGCTCCATATATATTACATTATCAATGTTGTCAATTAAATTTTCATCCAGATGAAGTCTGTATGTGTTGATGCTCACGTTGGACTATTGGTAAGTCTGTTCCCAATTACTCCACTGATGTGATTTGAAGACACCTAACAGAAGGGCTCTACTATATCTAAGTAAAGATATATCATCCTGTCTTTATACACTCCACGCACAGAGCCAAACCAAGAAACTTGCCTGTTCTCTCAGCCTGCTAATGTCTCTGAAAAACCATCAGAGAGGACCACCACGTAGCTAGCAGCTGTTCCTCAGACATCTCTAAATGAAAGATTTTCCCTTTTTTAAGATGTAGGGATGATGAACATGACTAGAAATAATCTGAAGTGACCAAGCACAGTGGGAGGGAGCAGAAGACATGGCTGTGCTGAGAGGTGCATCCAGCTGCTGAGCCTGTGGGTGCCTCTGAAGCAGACGGACAGCATGAAAAATTAGGGAAAGTGTTCCTGGGCTGGATACATTTGAGTAATGAGAGAAGTTTGTAAAAGTCAATCAGAAAAAAACACGCTTAGATAAGATCAGACTAGAGCAAAATAAGACAAACAGGAGAATCAAATCACAGTTGAGATCTCAAAGATGTGAAGAGCAAGTGGAGAGAAAAGATACAAAAAGAGAGAAAGCAAACTATGAATAAAAAGCGGCATTAGGTCAGTGTGAAAAATTATGATTAGCGAGAAAAATTGGCAATAAGAATGGTGAGTGTGAAAGCAAATTATCTAACTTTAATATAATAGGACAAACATTAACAAGGACATTGAAAATTACCATACAATTTTCCAGTTCCCCAGAGAATCTACATATGATTGGGAATAATTCACACCACAGCTAGGAGATACTGAGAAATAAGTATGAACATTACAAACAACAACTGAGTAAAATTTACTATCTTTTCCAGAGACTGTGGTATATAAAGGCTCCAAGTCAGATATTCAGAGGAATAGGGTGGTAAGCAGCAGCAGTTCACAGGTGCAAAACAGTTACTTTCCTAAACTCAAGAACATCCAACTTTCCATCCCTTCAGCAACCAAATGCAAACACGAATGTTGCAGGTCTTGAGCAGGGCACTGTGGAAGATAAAAATAGTTCTGCCTGCAACAAACACTTGTCTCTACAGGCTCACAACCCGGCAGTTGAGAAGCACGAGGTGCACTTTTCCATTTCCTAATAGAACATCAAATCACATGCTCAGCCACTTGCAGATTAAAACTAGCTGTCTTACAGCTGTGCAACTAGTGATAGGATTAAAGGAACACATAAAATCCTTGCAAAAATACTTGTCAATTTGGGATTCTCCAGATATAGCTCATCCTCAAAAAAGCCATAGTGCATAGCACGTGGCAATATCAAAAACACAGCAGAAGAAGGAAAAAGTTCCAAAATGCCCATAACTAAACTAATGTATGTTGTGAAAATGCAGAGAAGTTTTGCAGAGAAGTTTTATTTCATATCAACTCTTTAGCAGCAAACGGGGAGGGAACATTAGAGAATTGAGTTGCAGAAGGTTTAGAGGAGATACAGGTGTTTAAAATAAAAAAGAATGGCTCTCTACATGTTAATTTGGAAGAAGAAGAGGCAAGAGCAGACACCAAAGAACGAGTTTTTGCCATGCTCTTGCCAACGTATGTGACCTAGCTACTGCAGAGAATGACAAAAATTTTTTTTTTTGGATCTTGCTGAAGTGCTGTCACAACAGCAGTCCAGTGAGATAAAAGGGCACTCAAAACTGCAGGCATGCTTTAAGCTCACTAAGCATTCTGTTATTCTCTGATAGCTTTCATTTTATTACGGAAATGTTTCCACATGGAAATTGACTTATGTGTGCAAGGAGAAGCCTCTCTCACGAAGAAGATTATAGCAGTACATCACAGAAAACCCCAAAGAAAGCACCTGGTTGCCCAAAAGAATATAGTATGTTCTAATTCCCCCTTTATTATATTTTTCCTGTTTCTTCTTAATGGTAGAGAGATACAGACAAAAGGAAAGAATGGAAAAAACCACAGTGAGAAACAGCAACATGGAGCACTGCAAGGAAAGAAAGGTTAATTACAGCACAAGAAAAGATGCAAGGAATGTGAAGAATGTCAGCAAGCAAATAAATCAATAATCTACAGTCATCATCTGCATTCCTGAACTACCTTGAAAGCAAGGATATCTGCCCTTAGCATTCCTGAAAACAGTAGAGATATTCAAGGAAGACCCCCCCTGCCTGCTGCACACTCAGTTCCTGCAAGCACCCTTGTGTCAACAGCTGATTACAAGGGAACTTTTCCAAAGGGAGCCTGTACTACCTCTTAGAACAGCTTTTTTAATACGAGCTTGTAAATACCTCGAGACAGCCCAGAAATATTAACAAGCCAAAATTCATGTTGTGATTATTGCTCTTAGCTGAAAAAACCCTCAAGGTCATTATCAAACAATTGCAGGAATGATGCACTAGGTTACCCCCTCAACACTGCTTTCTAAAACATACCAGAGCCTAGCAGCTCATATGGAATAACAGCACAGATCAATAAAGCCGGAAGACTAATGGGGTTTTACAGATATATTTCTTCACAATGGTATCAACATACTATAAGACTTTTACAAAGGAAATGGAAGGTGAGCAATAGAGACAAGGAGACCTAAAAGTCAAGACTTAACAAGTTGGAAACATTCTGTATTGCTGATGGAGAAAAACAAAAAAAACCAAACCCCAAACTAAAACAAAACCCAAAACAAAACCCCAACCCTCAAAACAAGTATATAACTGACATCAAGGAGATGCCGTCAAGTAATATGACACAAGAGAAATGGATCTGCAGAGCCAAACAGTGGGTGCTAAAGGCCTTACTGACAGCCACCCCTTACACATTTCGGGGGAGGCTTACTTCAGATGAACTGTAGACTAGTCGCATGAACTGAGCATCCAGGAGGGGTTGAGCTAAATAGCCTGGCTTAGTTTTGTCCATAAAAGAATTTAGATCAACCTCTGGTGCAAACCAAAATACTGGAAATGGGGAACAGAAATTTGATTCAGCAGTGCAATCCTCGGCCGCTGCTAACACAGATTTACCCGAAGTTGCAATATGACTCTGATGCTATATATAAAAAGTCTTGTAAGTCCAGTATCTGTCTCAAACAAACAGCAACAAAAAAGAAAAGGATAGAATGATTCCATGAGCGCTGGTGCTTAGAAGATCACTTTTGTCTACAAGACGTAGCAGTAATTCTTCAAAAATTGCTTTGCCACACAGAACATATAAAAAACCCACCGCAAACCTTCTTACAGAATTATTTCTAAACTGGACTTGCTTGTCTTCATGCACACACAGAATGCTTTTGCAACACTCGCTTTTGCTAATGAAGCTGATACAATACAATTAGGTAGCTGGGGGCATCTTTTTATGTGACTGAAGAAATTTCTTAATGAAGTGTAGCAATCAAAACAAGCCTATTTTCAACGTCATTCCACAGCAAAGCTGGGGGCTCCACCCCCAACTCTTCACGTGTATTCAACAGATTTTACAGTCATCTTTTACATAATGGATGCAATTACATTAAAAAAAAAAAAAAGAGAGAGAGAGAGAAAACTTACTGTACCTGTATGTTGTTCTTCAATCCAAGCTTGTAGATACATGAAGAGGAGTAGACCAGCTACTCCAAACAGCAGTACAGACACAAAGACTTGTCTTAGGTTCATGACCCTATCAGGGGTCCTCTTTTCAGCTTTCAAAAAGACTCATGGCTCACTTTTCTGAAGTTTTCAGCATGCCTGCATCTTCTTCAGTATCTTCCCCAGAGACACCAACCTGGAATAACAAGAGATGGAGGTTGTTTTCGGTTTTTGTTCTTCACCAGACTGTGTAAACAGCATACTATATACAAGCTGGAACTCTTACAAGACACTACTTTCAATGCTTATATTTCTGTTCACAGCCTCAATGCTTTTTCTACCCTCGTATGCATTCCAAGCAGAAGTGTTTCTTGAAGTACCTGAAAAGACAATTTCACCTCCACAACACCAAACATTACCCGCTGCTGTAACAGAAGGAGGTGATGACCCAAACGAGATCATCAAGTGTCACACCAGTACACCACCAGCACACCACTCTGCCTGCCAACCTTCACAACTGAGAAGCTACAATAAGTAGCTGGAGCCTCTCAGGAGCCTGCAGTAACCCCCACAACACAGCAACTTCGCTTGCAGTGCCTCAACATCAGTTCAGCCTATGCATCGAGGAGTCATACTCTGATGTTTACCGTCAAATATGAATCTAAGGTGAGCTTTTCAGGGTTACAGAATGTCAGCATGAGAATATATCAGTAACGCAGCACAAAAGGAATTAGTGGATCATCTTTTTACTCAGCTATTTTGCAACATGGAGAAGGACCTGTCAGGAACTCAATTCTTGCCACTAAGTTTAAGGAAAATGAGCTCAAATGTAAAAAGTTATAAAAAAGATTACTTTCTTGCACACCAGTGGGCCCAGAAAAAATAATTTACCTGATACTCCGCACCTGACACAAAGGGTTCATAAAATTCAGTTTATAACATCAGAACATAGAAGACACTATGTATCACTAAAAAGACAACTCCTTAACCTGAATGAGAATGTCTTCACTTTGAAAGTGCATTATTAGATGTTGAAGAGCAGGTGTTGAAACTGGCCTCACAGCAAATGTGTTAAAATTCGATATAATGCACACCCTTGTAAGTGCACATCTGACAGAAGAGTCTGGTGAACTACTTAAGCAATGCTTAAGGAACCATTAGTCAAAGAATCAACAAGTGCAAACCTCTTCTGTTTCACTGTAGACAAAAGCTGTGTTGTTCAAGTAACAGGACATTGGCAACATCTACATTAGGAAAAAAGATTAAAAACAGCAAATAAATAAGATGTGACGATCTGAATAAGTATCTTTGAAATAAAGTATTTAAATTGGAAAGCAAGAATCAATCTCTTTTGAAAAAGGTTGTTTGGGATTCACGAGTTTCTCTCATAATAGAAAAGTAAGCAAGCTGGACCGACACAATGACAGTGGCATGCTCCAAATAAGCCTGCTTTTGTGGTTTTGTCACTTTCTTTCATCTCCGACCACACAAAACTCCCAAATTTTCAGCCCTTCTTTCTGAAAAGTGTCCTTGAGGAGGGGCAAGAAGAGCTTTTCAGGCCACATAGATGATGCTGAAAGTAAAGTATCTCAGACCACATCTCCACAAACATTTCTGACACACGTAGGCTGGCACTGCTGCACTCTCCAGTCACTTGCTCTCATGACCCCTGACTGCCCAGCTCTTGCCACTCTTGCCATGAGGGCTTACACACCTGTTCAGTAACATTCTTCTGAACGTTCATCCAGCTAAACAGATGATGGATAGCTCATCCAGCTAAAAACTGCCCCAGGAAAAGGAATGGGGACCTTACTGACCAAGGAAGTCAGGAAACACTAGTTTAATCAAATTACAGCTCCCAAAGGATTTACCCAAGGAATAGCACTGATGTTTTTTCCTTTAGCAGTAGCAGCTCCTGCATGCATCCATGACACATGATAGCACAGGATACACAGCTGACCTTGCCCAGACACCATCATGGTTGCATCCAGCACCATCTACGAGACCTGAAAGGTGATGATGCAGATGCACAGTAAAATCAGGAGCACTTCCTAATAATTTAACCTGACAATAGGAAAACAGATGTTCTTCTACTAGGTAGTTTTGGTTTTGAGCGGACAGAAGTTCCTAAAAGGAAACAGCAGTTCCAGGTGCCTTTTATTTTTTTTTAAACTACTGAACATACCCTAAAGCCAATTCACTTCACCATCACTACAATTATCTATGTATCAAGAACTTACATGCTGTTTGCAATTAGTTTAATATATTTAAATTTAATTTATATGAAACTTTGTTCTTTGTTTATATGTTGGCTAAGTTTTAAGGTTAGTTTTAAGGTTAGTTTTAAACAAGAGTAACACTACTTTTAATTAAGACTACCTATTTTAGCACAGGTCAGACTCTAAATACATCAAAGCCATCCAAACTCTGAAGCTATTCTGCTACCTTATAAGATTTTAAAGGCTTTTCAGCTTGAATAAGTAGTTTAATTTATTTAACACAGTGATTTGTAACCCACATATGAAAAAATTATAGTGACATTTAAAAAAGTCTGTGTGTATGAGTCTTCTATCAGAACTTGAAAAATGGCTGCACAACACTGACAAGTTTGCTCCTTTGGTATTAAAAAGCAACGCTTATGGATAACACTCTCAGGCATCCTGGAAAAGAGGAAATACCTGCAAATATTCTTTAATCAAGATAAATGCTTTCTTTAGGCTGTAAAGAGCCAACAAGCAATTACTTTCAACCTAGGAATTTTCAAAAGGGACCAGCCGTATCCAGAGGTTCAGCATCCCTACTTAAGCTGTGAATCCTGCTTTGCTACCAATCGTGGGCAACGTGGCTCCACTGGGGGGTCTTGACCGTCCTGCTGGATGGGATTCTTGCTACAGGGAAACTAACATGGCCCTCCCTTGCTACAGGGAAACTAATGCTGTGACCCTCTCGTCTATGCTGAACTAGATTCTTGCTTTTGCCCAACCTCACCCCCATCTCTTTTGGGTGTATGGAGCCCAATGTCCCATCTGTTTCAACTCAAGCTTTCACAGAAAATGTCATAGTGACCCATGCAACCTTTTGAGTATTGGAGAGAGATTACTACATACTAATCTTATCCACCATGGACAAACAGTTAATCTGGCAGAAAATAGCACTACATGCCTTAGAAGACAAACACAGACTCCTTTGCAGCAAAAATGTAGAAATTTAACAAGTCTATCGTCATTCACTTCTGAGGCCAAATTGTTAAACGTTTGTCAAATATTAAGGGTTTTGAGAATGCACATTCCACTGATATAAAATCCTTGCATTTTTCCCATTGTGTATGGGTTCAAAGAGGCACATTCCTGTACAGGGCCAACACAAGCAATTGAAATAGCACAGCCACCCAAAAAGGGGGAAGAGTCTGCCTCCTGCTTTTGGCGTGATTCTTCATTTCAGTACATCATCCACATTTTTCTTCCTGGCAAGCATATATACCTGCAGCTGAGGAGAGGCACTCCAGCTCTCAGGTACCATTGCTGGCTTCTTCCTATTCTAGACCACACAAAATCAATGGCATCTGGTCACAGGATGTTTGTCTAACTTTAGATTTCCTTGCCACTGTGACCCTCACCATCATCTAGTTCCAAAGTCAAGGATGTATAAAAGTAAAACATTAGATTGCCTCAACCTATTTAGAAATCTTCCTTTTAAATTCCTGTTCACCTTTTTTTCCTTCACCTGAAAAAAAAAAATAATCAAGAAGCATGGTTAACCAGCAGAATACAGATGAAAAAAATCCAGACACTCTTTATAATGGTCAAAGCATTCATATTACTGTGGTATACCACAAATTCCCACCCACTCAGTATCTCCTTAGACACAACTGAATTAATGAAAGAAAAATGAGAAAAAGGACACAGAAAGCTACTGTAACCTCATGCACATTTTTTTTCTTTTTTTTATTCCCTTCATCCTTCCTTACCTCAAGAAGCACTACATTTTCTGATACCTCCACTGGAGTTATCACAACAGAAGTTTTGTACCGAGGAATGTTCTGCTGGACACTGGCCCAGGCTACTTTCAGCCCAGTCTGTGGAAGGAGGCAAAGATATCTTTTCACTTCAACGCTTCCCCTCCTCCCTCACTTCTCATCTGTTATCTTGTGTCCTACTTCACATACAGGTGATCCTTCAGGATCATCTTTCCACTGTCCACATCTCAACTTTCTGGCTTCGCAACAACTAGCACAAGGCACGGTTCCAGCTCTTAACAATGCTTGCACAGTTCTTCATATCAGGCAGTGCTGCTTTTTGTTCTGGTTTACTCCAAAGGTTGCTAGAAATATACATACAATATTTGCCATTTTCTATATCCAGCAAGTTACACTGAATATTATGGTTGGGTGAAGTCAAAGGCCCTACAGAAATTTGGTATAAGTGAGTAGGCAGATCGAGATAATCCAACTCAGTGTTGCTGAGAAAGTTTGTAAAAATTAAAAAAACACAACCAACCAATCAAACAAAAAAACCCTCACCAAACCCCCTCATAAAAACCCCAACCAAAAATCACCCCAAACCAAAATTCATATAATGTAGCCCTTCCTGTCTATAAGAATCTACTGGGGAGATATAGACAGGGCAGTGGGGAGACACCCAGCATCCAGGCCCACTGGTACATCAGTCCTGCTGACACCTCAACACTTCTGCACCTGAAGAGCTGCTTATAAGAATGCTGTGTCAAAGTGTAACTGAAGACACCATCTGGCCTGCACAACTTTTATCACTGGCAATAAAAGAAGATTACTACCTACAAACATTGCAAATCAAGTTAAGAGAATTTTGTTGAGAGTTCCATAAGACACAAATAATGAAATATTTTTTTTATGAAATACGTAGGGATTTCTTTTCAAAGGAGAGAGCTATTTTTATCAAAGTGAGCATCTTTCACTCACCCACTGATAATCCTGAAATAATAAAGCCGCTTCAAAAAAATAGAGCTCCAAAATTTAAAATTTCAACTGCAGTCAGGAAATTCCATACATCAACATCACCAAAGTAACTTCCCACCTAGCCAACTTGTACATATTTAACATTTTTCAACTTCCCTCTCCCTCGTTACATAGCAGACTACAATGTTGTTATAGCAATTAAGTTATATTATTAATACACTTTACAGCATACGACATATTGTACAAAATAATATGGCAAAGAAAATATGGTTTGCGTTTGATTTCATCATTTTAAGCTATTAACGTCACTAGTTCCTCATTATCCTTTCCATATATTTTAAAAGAAAAAAACTCCTTTTAATGAAGCAATGGGTGTAAACAAGACTCATTTTAGTAGAGGCATATATTTGTTACTCATGCCATTAAAACTTTCCATAGGAATTGTACTATGTGACTGAAAGCAATCCATAGCACCTGCATTGCACACCACTTACCTGGTTCTGCACCTTGACCATAAATCCTATTAAACTTCAGACCATATCAGTATAATGCACACAGCAACTTGCCTCAGACACTTGTAGTTTAATTTAAAGCTGCAGTTCTAACCAAACAAAAGTTATACTTGTGTTAATAACAGATAAATGCCAAGTTGTCCTATCCATGGGTATGGAGGTTAACACACCAGCATCATGGAAAGTTTTGGTTACTTACAGAAAACAGAGAAGACACCAAAAGCATCGGGATCTGGAGCTTCACCACTTCACCAGAATATTCAGTTCTAAGGGCTTCACTCTACAGCTGCCGGACATCTCACTTAGAAAAGGAAAAATCATTATTATTCTTAGTAACAGTTCCCAGTCAGGACTGAGGGACCTCAGGAGACAAAGTTTGACATGCTTAGCTCTTACCTGTCTGAAGCACTGCTGGAAGTCAGTGAGCAGTCCCACATGGAAGACACCTGGATTCTGGGAAGTTAAAAGAGAAACAGGGCTCACGAGACAGCAACTTGATGGCTCTCAGTCTTCTAGCAGGATTGGAGGTGGGCTTTTTCCCCTCTCTTAGAGTGGGGAAGATTAGGAGAAGGACTGTGTCAAAGCAAGATCTTCCCTTTTTTTGAACTGGTGAAATGATTCGTCTTGTTTACGGACTGCAGTGAACCCAGGTGTTCTCAGCATGCCAATAAGACTCGCAGCCTGCCCCAGTCATCCACTCTACTGCTATAAAACGCACAGGCAACACCAGTCCATTTTTTATTTTGGAGACGAGCCACGAATTCCCGGCGTGTGACGGAGCGGGGAGGCGCGGGGGCGTGAGGAGTCAGCAGAAAAGTTGGTGGGCGCGCTGAGCGCAGCCCCGCGCGGAGCCGCAGCGGGGGCTCCGCGACCTCCGCAACTTCGGGGGACGAGCCGCAGCCCCCTCGGGGCCGGTCCCGGCGCTGCAGCCCCTCGCCACGGCCGCGCCAGAGGGTCGGGGCTGACACGGCCGAGGCTCGCCCGCCCCCCTAGACCGCCCCGCGCTGAACGCACCGGGGCGGCCACACTGCCGCCGCCGCCCCCCGCTCCCGTTCCCGCCGGCAAAACTCCCGGCGCCCCGGGGCTGGGCGGTGCCGGCGGGGGAGCGGCTGCTGGCGGGGCCGGGGAGGTGATCCCGCAGCAAGCCCACCCACCCACCTACCCTCCGTCCCGCTCGTCCCCCGTGAGTGCCCCGCGGCTGCACCTCACCTGCCCGCTGCTCCCGCCGCTCCCGGGAAGCGCCTCCCTAGCGGCGCCTACACACTAACTTTCCTTGCCAAACTTTGGGGCCGGGCGGGCTGGGGAGGTGCCCCCGGCGGCACGGGACCCCCCCAGGCCCGGCGGGCGGATCCCCGCGGGGGCAGGTGAGTTCCGCCCCGCACAGCCCGTGTGATGGCGAGGGCAGCCGCGCTCCCTCCGTTGTCACCCGGAGCCGAAGAGCTTTGCTGGCAGGTTTTTGTGTGCTGTTACAAATCCATGGGTAACTCTCCCTGTGTTAGCATATAAATATGTCTAAGCTGCCAGGTAAAGGCAAGTCATAGCTTTAATTAGCTATTAAAACAGGTAGTGTAGAAACTTTATTGTCGTCTATGGGAAACGGGATGACAGAGAGAAATATTTAAATAGTGCTTATTAGAGCGTCGTATGTGCCTTGCAAAAATTATCAGCTTATTGTGACAATAGACCAGCCATACAGATAAATGACATTATCTCTCTTTAACGGGAACGTCACTTTTCTTACATTTCCTCGAGGAAGCCCTTGAAGAAATAGCTCTGGCTGTTGTTAAGGGGGGGTGAGCACAGAAGAGTTCTGACTTTCCAGAGCTGTGCTCAAACCACTTCTATCCATCTCTCATTTAGGCATTTCACTGCAGTGCTGTGTCCCTAGAATTACCCCAGCATGCACTTCTGAAATGTACCCTGATTCATTGCCCCGTTGCTCACTTATGGCATAAGGCCTTTTTTTGGAGTAACTGTGATGTAACCTTCATGTTTTTACAACATCTTTTACCCTAACAAGTCTCAAATCACCTCACACACTGTTAGAGTCAGCACACGGGGATCACTTCTCCAACCAGTGAAGCACAATCACCCTCAGCGTGAAGCTGAATGTCGTCCACCAGCTGAAGACAAATGTTTCAGAGCAAAGAGTAGAAAGCTGGGTGCTGCTCAGATTTCCAGGAGGGTTTAAGCAGGGGTAATTACCCCTTCCAGAGCTTAGATGTTCATTGAAAAGTGGTCCAGGATCTCTAACAGCTATAGGCAGCCACAATCTGTGCTCATGAGTGTTTGCTTGGATTTCCAATCCAAGTGCTAAGCCATCCTGCTCCTGCTTAGTTTGGGTTGTGTGAATACATATAACCTCACCCTGGTGCTATTAACTTTCTCTTTTATCTCACTTAAGTGCCTCCCTAGTCACAGTCGATTGTAGAGGCTGCCAGCTCAGAGTAGACCCAGGGAGCAAACATTTTTCCTTTAAAGCCAACCATGGATCCATTTTAAAGTTCTAATGAGTAAAGACTATCCCTCAAACCTGTAGCTTGACTGTCTCCCTACTAGAAATAAAAGAGGAGGAAAGAGAGGGGGAAGCAAAATATGGCTGCTGTTCGTTATAGAGTTGAGGAGCATGTTTCCCCTTTCAGACAACCTGGCAGGCATGTGATACTATGTTAACCATATGCCTTAACAAAAAAATGCAACCTCATATTTAAATTACAGGTCTACTAGTCCCTGATGGCCAATGAGATTTTAGAGAAAAACGACATGCTTACTGAATTTTAGTTTCTTGAGGTAATACACTCAGAAGATTGTAATGAAGGTCACTGAAGCTTCTAATGATATACAGATTAACCTTCTGAGTGTTGTAGATTTAATTTCACTCAATAAGTACATTCTGTGAACATCTTTCTTCAGATTGATCTGTTCAGATTGTACCCATCAACCAATTAAAGTTATATATAACACTGAAAAGATTAGATGTCTTGATTTTTATTTTTCTTCATTTAAAGGAATAAATTAATTGCTTTGGGATAAAGCCAAGTCTTATTCTACAATTAAAAAAAAAACAAACAAAAAACCAGAAAACCAGACCAATGTGTTAAGCTTGTATAATTCTTGTTCCACCACAGACTCTTCCAGTGCAGAGGGCATATTCCAGCTATGGATATAAGAATCTTTACTAGATTAAAAATTCAATATTCAGGTGAAACTAGACACTGGATTAGGAAGCTCACCAACTACGTAAATGTAACCAGCACCTTCTGAAGCTTGACATGTAGCAAAAAAGAAACAAATTACAAAAGGGTGACGGCAGTCTGTCGGTGTCAGCAGGGCTGGTGCGGAGCCAGCGCCTACATCAGAAACTCTATTCTTGGCAGGTTTCTGCATGTTTCCTGTGAATTTTAGTAGACAAGCAGCTCAATAGTTAAAGTAGCAGCACCATCATCTGAAAGCAGTGAGACAACAGCCAGGTGGTGGTGCCTTCTCACAGGAACAGAAGTGGTCAGTGCAGTTAGAGAAGAAAGATAACAAGTCATGAATTGAAACTGAAACCGGCCAAAAATCAGAGGTCAATTTGCTGAAATAAATTCACCTTTACTATACAATAAGATTAATTTTAGCTCTTTACACGTTTCCTGTGTAGATTTTCAGGGACAACCATGGAGGAAAGTTTGATGTGGAGGGTAGGTCACAGTAACCCACGCTCACAGCTGCTTCTCTGTGAACTGCTAGTGCATCCTGTGTAAGGACCCTAAATCCCCTGTGGGTGCTCAGATCATGGGACAGAAACCACAAGTATCATTGCTCTGAGCTGTTAAGACCCTCCCCCCCCTTGCTGAATTTTCCACCCAGCCTAGGTTCCCATTTGATATTTTTCAAAGATTGTTGCAAAGTTAGCTCAGCTGCCTACACAGATACACACATTTCAAGGAGTCAGAAGTTGGTATTCTCACACTGAAAGAAAAATTTAATATAAAAACCATGTTTCAAGTAGCATCTGTGACAAAACTGTGCCTGTTTGGCCTGATCTTCTTCCAAAGGGGAAGCATTAGACCTTCAGAGAATTTTTTAGATTAGCCAAATTAATTCCAAGTCCCATTATTGTTTACTGCACTGAATTTTGGGATGGGCCACACTGGCACAGTTTCAGTGCCGTGTGCTATATATCAGTAAGAGCCAATTAGACAAACCTTTGGTGATTAAAAGCATTTTATCACTATGAAGGTGTCTTTTACTCCAGGGTATAAACCATTCAGCAAGTAGTTTCATTTTATTTCTTTGAGCTTTTTTAATTTTCAGCTAATTAGCTAGAAATGCACCACCTACAACATGCTCCTTTCCTAGGTTACAAGGCTAACATTTGCCTCTACCAAGCATTGCTATGGGGCATTTGCTTTGTTCTTTAAAAAAACTGCTAGCAACTAGATATAACATTTATTTGCTCAGTATCTGGCATGCTGGGGTGATTATCAAAGCCTTTCTAAACAAGTTGTGTGCTCATTCAAAAATATTAGGCAATTCAAAGTCTGTTGTTCTTCAGCTATTACAAAGTTTTGTTTTTAAGAAGTCTCTAAAAACTTGTCTTAAACACTTCGATGAGTTAACAGTGAAGCTGTTTTATCCTAGTGGGCTCCCATTCCCAGAGGATGGCCAAAAGTAAGCAGTAGCTGCCAATTTTTTTTTTATTCTGAAGTTTGGTGCGTTATCTTACTCCAATTCTAAAATATTCTTCAAATGGCAGCTGCTATTCAGTTAAGATTAACTCCCCTTTTTCTTACTGCCTCTGCCCTATCTCTGGATGACCAGGGTTTGTGTGAGTACTCATGCTATTATATGATGAATTTATATCTTAGAGTGATGTATACCCAGTTTTACATGCTCTATGCATGGAGGTTTTCAAGACAAGACTGGATAGAGCCCTAAGCAATCTGACTTGACACCATGGCTGATCTAGTAATGTGTTGGAGGTTGGACTATAGGTTTCCTGGGATCGCATCCTATGTGAGTAATCCCATCCTATCTTCCTAGATAGCCCACATGGAAATCAAGAGGTCACACTTTCACCAAAATGATCTCATCTCACTACAAAAATGAGATTTGAAGACTGCTACCCTTCATAGAATCACAGACCACAAACGAATGAACGAGGTCCTTAACTAGCATCAGAAGGCTTTCTGTTGAAATGTGGTTTGTAAAGCAAGTGAGAAGTTCCTCTGAAAAAAAGTCTTTTTTTGAGACTTTTTGGACTGTGTTTGCAAAAGCTATGTAACATTGCAATTTCTAGTTTGTCTGGTCCTAGAGAAGAGAAAACATTCACTTTTGTTCTGCCAGATAATACTTGATTATGGTACCTCCTGGAAAAGAATGAGCTATTGTATCAGAGTAGCAAGCTGGGAGACAGTTTCTTTGGTGTTTCAGTTATTGGCATTACAGTGCCCCCACAAAATTAATTGTAAATTTCTTAACTGTCTGATCTAAATGCTTTAAAAGCATCCATAAAGATCTTGGATGGTATGTTCTTCATGCTTGTCTTTCAATTTTGACTGAAGGGATGCTAGCAGATCGTCTCTATCCTTACCACGGAGTCTGGAGTTCTCAGCTATGACTAACTGCTCTTAGGCATTACACAGAAAAACCCAAACCAAAACCCCTCATAGAGCAATTTTACTATCTTTTACATGTCTATGAAATGTCAGAGAAGTAAAATCTGCATATTGCACTTTGGTCTCAACACATCCTCTGAATGTGAGACAAATAACATTGTCTTACTTCCAACAGCAGTCTTGATAGTAAAAAGTTCTGCACTAATTCAACATCTGCTGACAAGCTGTCTATATAAATTGACAGAGAAGCAAACTGATACATGAAACTGAGGATACCTCCAAAGTGATTCACAATCTGTTGAAACAGGACACCATACCATTAAATATGTAATTCCAGTGTTCTTGGTCCTCTTCCATCCTAAAATAAAAAGCAGGAATATGATGACATGACAGTCTGGCAGCTGTTCTGAAGTACAGATAAAGGAGAATTGAATGAAATAAAACAGTATAGGCTTCTCTTAGCCAGTCAGCATTGTACTATTTGTTGAATACTTGCAGTGCTTATTAGAACCAATGGAGGTATTTTGAACCCATTCTGACAGCTTGGATTCAAACATCGAGGAAATTATGACATCATGGTATTCATATGTGCCAGAAAAAAATGAAGTTACTGAGAAATTCTGGGGCAAATAAAGGTGGAAAGTAAAATAAGTACTAGGCAGACTGACA